GCAGTCGATGTTTCTTCCTGTAACATAATGATGAATACATATACATATACACACTTTAAAAACTCAAATAGTAAGATTCATTTTAAAATTTTTCAAAAAAAAACAGTTTTCTAACCAACTTAAGTTCAAGTCCTTTATTTAAATGTGGTTTATTACTTCTTATCATTCTAGCAGCCATTAATTCAGTAAGTAAGTAATCCAATAATAGTAATCTTTTTTGTTTACTATTAAGTCTTTCGCTTAAATGGCCCTCGAGTAGTGAAGTATAACAACAACCTGAAAATATTACATTTCTAATACTTTCAAAATTTTCAGCAAGTAATAAGCAATAAATACAATATCGAACCTAATTCCTTCAAAAAACTACTCAATTCTAAGAGAAAAGAACTGCTTTCATCTTCAGAGTCAATTGAGTTAACAGTTTCTTCTAACTTGCAAAGAAATTTTAATTCTTTGCAAATCCATTCAACTAATTTAGTAAATTCTTTATTTTTAACTCCATCATTCACGGCTTCCTCTAAGTTTGTACCTACCAACAACTCTCCTTTATAACTTAAAAAAAAAAAAAAATTAAAATTATCAGTTTGCCGAAAAAGCTTATCATTTATAACTTTCACTAATCGCAAATATTTAATCCTAATTATTTCACCAACCCTAGGTCCTCTAAAATATCTAGAATATCGTTTTCCATAATTAAAATAAAAAACAAATGTTTTTATTCACAAGTTAAGTGACCGAAATTATACTTTAAGTTCTCTTTAAATGCATCCGAAAATCAACAATGGAATTCTATTTCCACGTTTTTAAGTGCTGTCATTATTATTATTCAGGATTCATTAATAAGTTGTGTATTTCAGAATTGGATTACACATGTTAGAAAATTTGATCTTATCTATTGTACTATAAAATTTCTAAATTTTTCATGTATAATTATTTAAAAAAGTTTGCGTTTACATTTTTTTCAATCTCAACTTCAGTTTCACAAAAGTGTAAAAAAAAAAAAATTTTAGGGCAAAAAGTTTTTTCTTTTTAAAATAAATTAATAAATTTATTAATAAATTATAATAATTTAAATTTCAGTTTTCAAAATATGTACTGAAATAAAAAGGATAATAAAAAATAATTTGTTTTTATATGTAAAATTTTATTTGTCTTATAAATCTTAATTAATTTCAAATAATAAATAATAATATTTTCTTTTAAAGTATTAAATAAGAAGATTTGTCATGATGTTGTTTTGTATGAAATACATCATTTTAAAAAAATTATTTGCTTAATTTTTCTTGAAGCCAATCTTCAGTTAATTCATCAAGTTCCCTAATTTCATAAACCCTCGTTAAATCGGCTTCTTTTTGGAGAGCTAACTTTGTTCCAGCATACATAATTGAAGTTCCATTTGACTATCTGTAATAGTGATATTAAAAATAAAATATTTAAACTGCCTGGTAAAATAATGTAATGATATTCATAATCGATATTATTTAAAATCATGTATATCCTCAAGTAAATTATTATTGGCATTTAAAAAATTTTAGAAATTCATTCAAAATTTATAAAATTAGTCATAATTTTCATAATTCATAAAAAAGTACAGTTACAAAACATGAAAATTTTAAAATCTAAAAGTAATTACATAGCAAATTTACTTACCTCTAGGTGTAAAATATATAAAACACATAGGGTATGATATTCGACCATCATTGTGCGTCATTTTATAGCTGTATACTATGTACCTAGGTTGATGACTAGGTAAAGATTCTCTCAACTCATCAATGCTAATATCCTCTAAAATTTCATCAATACATATTTCTTGTTTTTCACGATCTACTTTTACTATAAACAAAAAAAAAAAATTTTTTTTTTTTTAATAAATATTTGCAAAACAATTTTAAACATAATCAAAAAAAAAATACACTTACATATTAAGGCAGCATTATTTTCATTTTTACGAAATCTAAATTTTTTTAATGCATCTTTTACATCATCTTTGATGTCACAAACTTTGACATGTCCAGACTAAAAAATAATAAATTGTTAATAATGTAAGACATTTAAAGCATTTGTTACTTTTTATATTTGTTTGCAATTTGAAAAAATAAATATATGGAATTATAATTATGATGAATTAAAATATTATTGAAAAAAAAAAAAAAAAATTAATGTGAATTTTGAAAAAATAATGATTTGACATTTAAAGGAGCCCAACCCTTTTAATTCATAGATATAAAATTCATTTTAATTACCATTACTAAGTCTATAAATGCAACTTTACTGGCCGAAAATATTTGTATTAAAAAAAATTAGTCTTTGTAAATAGAGAGCAACTTTTTGTTTGCATTTAAAAAAATTTATTGACAATTACAGCATAATAATTCAAAGCTAAGAATGGCTAAGCTGATAATGGCAGCACAAAATACAAATGTTATTTTCCCTGCTTCCACTACTTCATTCGAACGATTTCATAATTGAGAATTTATCAAAATTTACAAGCAAAGAAAAGGGTTAATTTTTAAACTACGTGGAAAATAAAGGAATTATAACAATTACATTTAATGTTTATCATTTTAAAAATTGCCTTATTTTAAATTTGCAATTTAAATTTTTTTTCCCCGGTTTTTTATGTTGAACGTTTTAAAACAATTTTACCAACTTATGTAAATATTTTAAAAGTGATTTAACTTCAAACATACATTTATTTTTTATGAATACATAAAAATAAAATTTTAAACATACACGTTTATGTGTAAACAAATTTTAACACGGTGTTTTAAAATCATTTTTTTTTTTTAAGCAATAAGTTTTAAGGATTAAAATTAAAAATATTGATTTTTAGAATGAATGCTACTAGTTTATACGTATCTACATGTCGTTTAGTTTTACAAGTAGATTCAGAAGATCCCGGGTGTTGTTCTGATTTATACAGACTAATTCCGTATTTAAGACAGTCTTTGTCATGTACTGTTTGTGGTAATTTGCTTATAGAACCCTTTACTCCCACTGAAACCAACTGTCAACATCATGTTTGTAGAACTTGTATTGGTGGGAAAAAAAAGCTTAAACCATCCTGCAGTTGGTGTAAAGATTATGATAAATACATTCAAAACGTTCAGTTACGAATTTTATTACAGTGTTATAAAAAACTTTGTGAATATATTATTAACTCTTCTACATATAAGTTAATTTGTAAAAGCAACACTTCATTATCTATTGGAGATTCTAGCGTTGCAAACATTATTGAATTAATTCAAGAAGGAGCTGGTTTTGAAGATGAATACAAAAGCAATACTGGTTTATCTAAATCTGCATATAGTATATTACCCTGTATATATGCCAGTGCTTCTACTCAAACAGTTGTTCAGTCTAATGGATCAAACAATGATACAGAAACTGTAGTTGAAGATGATATTCCTATATCTAATGGTTCATCCATTTATTCAGTATCATATGCTGGGAATGGAAATAAAATGGTTATTAAAAGAAAAGCCATGGTTCATAAAAATGAAATGGAAAATTGTGAGAATTTAAGACTTTTAAAGGTAAATTAATAATTTTTGAGTATATAATTTTAATTATTTATTAAAAGTTATTTTCATTGATTAATTTTTAATTGGTTTGGATTGAATAGGGGACTTCTTATAAAAAAACAGTTCATAGAAAAGGCTATAAAGGACGAGGAAGGTCATTTAGGTATGACATAAAAAGCAGTAATAATAATAATTGTAATAATAATAACTGTTCTGTAGCCGGAAATATTAATAATAGTGGAAAAGTAAACTCGAAAAAAAAAAAATTAGGCTGCAGATGTGGTAATGCAACAGCAAGTCCAGGAAAATTAACATGCTGCGGACAAAGGTAGGCACATAATATAAATTAATAAGGTTTTTTAATGAAAATTTTTTAACACTTGTGTTTGTACTATAGTATGATCTAGTTTTTCAAAATTATCAAAAAATAAATAAATTATTTTAATTTACATTATTTTTTCTAGGTGTCCTTGTTATGTTGATTCAAAGGCATGTTTAGATTGTAAATGTAGAGGATGCAGAAACCCACATACCAAGGAAGGTCAAAAGGTATTTTTTTTTTATTTTAGACAAAGTAAAATTTTCTAATGAATACAAATATTGCTTTTTAAAAATTGAATGAATGGTAATGTAATCATTGATATGAAGCAAAAATTTGAAATCCTAGGTGGTAAATTCAATAAACATCAGCGACATCTTTTAATCTAATTTTTACAAGGCTTTTATATAATTTATCCTTTTATTTGCTTAACTCTGATCAGCCAAATAGAAGTATTTATGTAAATCACTGTGACAAATGCCAAAAAAACCAAAAGAAATTTCTTTTAACAGTTTTTTTAAGCACTTTGAAAAGTATAAAGTATTAAAATTAAATTTATAAATTAACTCAATTAGATAAGAAAATTATAACTAATTAAATATTGGAAGGGAATTATATATATAATGATGCATTATAAAATGTTTAAAAATTGAGGAATTCATGTAAAAAAAATTATAATTTTCAATGGTATGACAAGTTTTTAATTATAATTATTAATAATTTATAGATAATTCGAGAGCCATTAGATTCTCAAAATAGTAAAATTCAATCTCCAACTCATCTGCCGACTGAGGATTCAATTCCGGTAAGTATATCAGTTATTATTAATTTTTCTTTGTGCAAACTTTTCAAGTAATTTATAGTAAACAAAACAATTTATTCAATTTTAAAATTTACACTATGATTTTTTTTCAGTTTCTCTTCAGAGTTTTAAATTAGAGTAAAGTTTTCTTCCTGATGCATTAACACTTCAAAATTAGCAACAATGATTTTCCCAAGTTTTTCCTTCAAATTACATAAGTTATTATAAATGACAGAATTTTTATAAAACATAAGAAAAGGTTTATGAAATTTAAAATTAAAAAATTGTACAGTTTTCTAGAAAAAATTGCTTAAAACAAATTATAAGTTTTTATTTATCATTTTTTTTTTTTCATGTTAGAGCTTTCTTACACAATTTTTTATAAAATTTAAATGATGCAATAACATAATTTAAAAAATAGGTAATAATTAAACAAATATATAAATTAAATGTGAAATTTTTTTTATAAAAAAAAAAAATTTTTTTCTTGGTATTATATACTTCACTTTTCCTAATATATATTTATAATATAGTATTTTTTTTTAATCATATTTAAATTTTATTTAGTAGTTTAATAGAAAAAAAAAGAATGAATATTATTTTTGCTAATATCAATTAGTAATAATAATAATAATTGATTTATTTCTATCTACTTCTTTTTATTTTTGAATTTTTAGCAAAAAAAATTTTGAATTTTTAATTTCAATAGTTGGTAAGGAAAAAACAATTATTGGATGGATTAACTATTTACTTGCCGAAAAGAAATAATAATTATTTCTAAAAAAAAAAAACAGATAATGGTAAGTTTAAAAATCAAGTTAATTTATTTTATATTGATTATCAAACTTAAATAAGCAATAATTTATTACTTTTCATAAACTTAATATTTCTTACAGTAATTATTAATTTATTGTTATTAACAGTAGCAAAGGAAATTTCCCTCCGAAAAAAAAAACTTTTTTTAATTTTATTTTGTTCGTAATTTTTATAATTTGACTTATTTTTTAAAAAAATATTAAATTCATGAAAGAAAAAAGTTTTTTATGGTTTTCTTAGGCACAACCAATTTCAGAAAACTCAAACGAAAGCAATTCAATAAATGAAATTCAAAAGATATGTTCAGAATATGAAAAGCTTGAAGACAATATTTCTCCTACTCCAAACAATATTAATATTACTTTAACAATTGAGAGTTTAGAAAATGTTGTAAGTATACTATAAATAATATAATTTAATATAAATGAATTAATTGTGTTTTAAAATTCAGGACATGTGTAAAGTAAGAGAATTAATGGTTAAAATGGAATTCAAGGGAGAAGTTATAGGTCAAACAGATAAATTAAAAGTTGAATCGAGTACAGTAGAAGTAAATCTTGTTGGAAATATTAGTTCCGAAAACGCTGATAACAAATACATAGATAACATTATGTGCAATCCAATCTTATGTTTGTAAAAAAAACCAAATGTTTTCAATTTAATAATAAACAATGATGGGTTGATATTAATTAATAATAAGGATGAAAACTACTGGTAGATAAAATAAAATTTTTTAATAATATTAGTTACAGTTTTCGATTATACTCCTTATGGAATATCCGGTCATCCTAATACTCCCAAAACGGATAGAGATGAAAGAAAAAAAGCTTCGAAAGCTTCAAAAGCTTCAAAAGCTACTGTTTCAAGAGCATCAGTATCAGTTCATGCTTTACAAAATATTATGGGAGTTTGTAATTTAGATTTGATTAATCTTTTATTAGGTAAATTCAAATTAAAAATTAATTATTAACATTAATTTTCATAATTTTTTAAATAATTAAATAAATAAGATAAACAGATAATTGTTTTATTGAACAGGTCAAAAATCAATTCGAGAAAGCCTTGTGGTAGAAAAAGGAAGAAATGTGTCCAGTAAAGAACTAGTAAGCTGGAATAAGCTTCCAATACTAAGAGTTGTTGCATCAATTGAAGATAATCAATCCGTTTTTAATAATTTGAATGATGGCTATAATATTTTGGGAATAACTGTGGAATCAGTATATAATGCACCTGATTATTTAAATGAAGGAACTTCAGCTGAAGCTGCTATACTTGTGCCTATCTTTGGTGATGTTGGTAACCAATTATATGATGATTTCAAATAATCTTTTCTTCGATTGTTTATTTATTCTTCATAACCTTGTCTTTGACCTTTTTTATTTTATAAAAATAATTTTTAAAATTTTTTTACTCTTTCAGAAAAAAAACATTACTTTTTCCAATGGAGTTGTAACTTCAAGAAGCGAATTAGATTCCAGGAAAAAGTGGTTTAATCTTTTAAATGCTCCTGGTTTCGGAGGAAGATCTAATTTTCAGTTTTGTATTTAATACTTTAATTTAACTAATATAAAAGATAATAATTATGAAAGTTTTTTAATAATTATTTTTCTTTTTTAGAATAAATAACTCTGGTTCCGATGTGATAAGTTCTTTGCCGCCAACTGTTAATATACAAAAAGAAATGAACAAAAAACGTTTGAAAATTGAATGGAACACATTTACCCGGTGTTTAATCAACAAAGCTGATAACAATTTGTTTTATTCAAAATTGCTCAGGTGAATATTCAAACTATAATCAATTTTTAAATTTTTCATATACGATTTTTATATTTGAATCATTAATTATTTTTTAGATATCACGTTTGGCCTATTGAAATATTCATTTCTAATAAAGGAAATCAACATAAATCTGCAAAATCGGAAAAAAAATCAAAATCTGTTGCAACTTCCGGTACAACTGTTAATTTTGAACATTTTATTGGATTTTTAAATATTTCTGCATTGCTTTATCCGGGAGGTAATTGAGAATAACATAAATACGAATCAAGTATTTTTTATATATTCATATTTGTTAATCATTATTTTAAAAAAATTAATATTAAATTATAATTAAAAGTAATCAATCTTTATAATGAAAACTTTATTTCAGTATCTAAAGTCAGAACGGCTTGTCAATTATATTCATATAGTCAGTCTGAGCTAATTGAAAAATTTGGAACCGATTTTATTTCATTTAATTTACAACCTCCAACTGGAAATGCATCTAAAACGAAGGAAGATTCACAAAAAATGTCTGCAGAACTTGAGGTTATTTTTTTTTTTTTTTTATAATTTTAAGTCATCTAATTAAAAACTTTAAAAACATTTAAAATTTTACATAAAATTTAAAAAAAAAGAGAATTGATAGATTTTTTTTTTTTTTTTTAAAAAAAAACTTTTACAGAATAAAAACGATAACTATGGTCAACCTATTTTTACTAAATATAAAGCACCAACGTTTGTTATTGTGGAAATAGAATTTTGGAAATCTTTTGTTCGTCGAAAAAATGAAGACCAATTATTAAAAGAGTAAGAATTTTTATTTTTCACCTTTTTTATTTACAATAGAAATACTTAAATGTATTTGATTTTCAGTTTGAATTCTTATTTGTGTTTAAAAGGAAAAATACCTAACAAAATGTTGAATTTTGAAGTGGCTAAAAAAAATTTTGAACATGTTTTACAGGTGAGTTTTTAATTTGTAATATTTTCATTTTAAAAATATCCTTTAATCTTATAATCATTTACTTTTTTTTTTAATAGAATATAATTTGTTTGATGGTTCAAGAATATACTTCCTTTATGCATGTTAAAAAAAATTATCCAAACGATGGTCAAAAGGCAAAATTTAATTTCTATGACTTTTTAAGAAATCGAGAAAGTTTTGATAGACTCATATCTTGCCTTGAATCAAAAGTTACATCTTACATTTACGAAAAATATGGAGACCTTAATAATTATAAAGTAATTATAATAATAATAATTTAATTAAAACTGAATTCAGTATAGTATAATGATATATGGATTAATTTTAAAAAAAAAACAATCAATCTTTTATTTTAGGAAATATTTCCAGAAATTTATACAAATCTCATTCATGAGTTGCATAAAATTACAAATAAAATTGTTTTCGGAGCTAATTATGATTTACATTTTAATTATAATGCGATCGACTTGCAAATGTTTGCTGAAGAAGCAATGGCCGAGGATGATCTTCCATTAGCAAAACAATATATTTTACTGGTATGAAATACAATCTATTTTTTAGTTTCAAAAACACTTTGGGCTTGGGGTTTTTCGTTACGATTTCCTGTGGGAATTCGTTACTAGTTTTGTATGTGACCATGATTATTAATAAAATTTACTTGTTTTTTTAAAACAGAATATATCTAGAAATAAAAGCGAACCTGATTTGTGGTTGGACTTTGCAGTTTTTTGTATTAAAATAAATGATTTTGATACAGCACTTGAAGCTTTAAGGGAAACTCTCACCCTCGACATTAATCATCAAATAGGGTAAGTTAAGAAAAAATAAAAACCAATCGGGATTTGATTCCTTTCATCTTAAATTTAAATTTTTTTTTTTTATACCAGGTTATTATTATACGGATTATTGATGGGAAAATTGGGAAAAATAAGCGTAGCAGAATTAACATTTCAATATTTATTGACGAGGTATCCGAATTATGCCGAAGGATGGAAAGCTTTTTATTTTTTTTATTCGACAAATAAAAATTACGAAGGATCGGATTTTACTTTTCTCATGAGCAAGTTATTTTATCATTACTTTATTATAATTTAATTTTTACCGAAAAAAAAAAAAAAATATTTATTATTATTAGGTAACAAGCTTGAATATGAAAAAGTAAAAAAATACAAAAGTTTTTCAACAGCAAACCTAAAATCAACTAAATCGGAAATGAATCGAGATGGATTTCAATTCAAGCATTATCCATATCCGGATGACCACATACTTTTAGGGAATAACAGCTGTGGAGTTAAAACTTTTATTAATGGAATTAGTTGGACGGAGCCATTAAGTTGGAGCACGACATTTTGCCCATCGAATAATATTAATATCAGAGCTGCAATTGTATTCTTTAAATTGGGCTTAATTGAGGTTGTAGAAAAACAATATCTTAAATCATGAAAGTTAATTAATAATATTTTTATTTAAAAAGAAAAAAAACTTTTTTAATTAGTTTGCATCGATGGCTTTATCTGATGATTTATTAAAAAAAAATGGGATTTTATGTTCTTATTATCAATATTACCTTGCTGTTGCTCATTACCATCAAGGTCTCTACAATGAAGCCATTTATCAATTGGAAATGATTGTAAAAGAACATGGAAAGGTACCTTTTTAATACCTTTTATTAATAATTTTACTTAAATCGTCTGTAAAACATTAAAAATTAATATAAAAAAAAAAAATTTTTTTCAGGATGTTTATTTATGGAGTTTAATGGGTCATTGTTATTATAAACTTGAAGATCACATTAACGCAATGGCTTGTTATGAATATGTATTAGAATCTTATAGTCAGCCAAAAAATGTTCATCTCATACAATTGAGGTAATGTGATATTAACTTTTTCTCATTTTCGGGGTATAATTTTTTAAAAATAACAATCATTCGTTGATGGTATTCCCCGGTGTGGAAAATAACGTTAATTTTACAGGATGGGAAATTATTATTTACTCACAAAAAAATTTTCGTGCGCGAAAAAAACATTTTTTAACGGATGTAAACAATTGCCCACTCCTCGAATGTGGAAGGGATTCGGAATCGCGTGTTTGAGGGTTAGAAAATATTTTCTTTTAATTATTTTTCGATCAATTTTTTTTTTTTTTTTGACTACTTGTTAAAATTTTAGTTAGGAGAACATGACAATGCTGAATTAGCTTTCTGTGAAGCCAATTATTTAGATAATGCTGACGCAGAAACTTGGGGATATTTAGCATTAGTTAATGGTTTATTGAAACGTTTCGATATGTTGAAAAACTGCTTTTTAGAAGCCAAAAAGGTTCATTATCATTATTATTTTTCTATATTATTTATTTATAATCATTAAATTTTCAGTAATTTATATTATTTTTTCTAGCGAAACTTAAAATTGAACAATGAAGAGTTGTTCAATGAAATCGAGATTTGTATTACTTCAAATAATATTAAATTTAATGAATTCCTCTAATAATTAATATATAATCTGATGAATATTTTTTAAATTTTTATAAGGAAAAAAAATAAAATGATGAATTTGATAAGGAATAAAAATATCAAAATTATAATTTTTTTTTTCTTTTTTTAAATTTTGAATTTAATTATTATTTATTTCGGTGAAAATGTGACATCTTATCTCCTTTATCATATACTAAACAAGATTATTGGATTAATAAAAATCTATACGTCACACATTAAAAATAATTTATCTTTAGGAAATGTTTAAAAAAAAAAAAAAAATACGGATAAATATTAATCAAAATAATTTATTTTTATGTAAAAATTACAAATGTATTGTTAATTAACTTTAATTGGCTTTATCATTATCTTTTTATTATTAGCTTTGGTAGTAAATCTATTGGAAATATTTTGGGATTTTTTTTAAATATTATTTCAATTAATACAAATTGATAACATTTAAACTACAACATATTCTTATCGTAGACAATTAAGATGTTGTAAAATACTGGTCACAAATAAAATAATTAAATCGAGTATAATTTGTGGCAAAATAATAATTATTTCAATTCGATTTCAAACCATAAAAAGCTAAAATAAAGTTTAGACATTTTTAAATGCTTAATTTTTAGGCATTTATATTAATAGTAAAACCAATACAACAATCACAGTACAAACATTTGTGTTTTTTAATTTGAATATTCACTTTATAACAACACTTTAAAAAAATTTAAAAAATAAATATTGAACTAGAGTATACAATCACTTCATATTAAAAAGTAATATTCAAATTTTTAAAAAGGTATTGTCAATCAATAGTATTTCTTTTCTTTCTTTTTTTTTTAGAAAAAAAACATTAAAAATAATAAGCATTATTATTATTATTATTGACTTCACTCATTAAATATATAAGTATTCTAATAAATTATTATAATTCTTCTATGGGCTTCATTTAATAAATACAAGTTTAAAATACATTTAACTGGTGGATATAAGAGAATATATCATTCTAAAATAAAAAAAAAAAATATCATGATATGCAATGGAAAACATTAAATAAATAAAATAAATAAGGAATATTTTTTTCTTACCCATATAAGTAGTAAAAAAATGATAAAAGATAAAATCCCAATTTAATCCATCCCTCTCTTTGGCATTTGCTTAAAATATCGGAATTCATTATTGTTGTTGCATCGTAAAGGCCTGGTCCCGACATTACAGGTCTTGTCATATACCTAAGTATAATAATTTAAAATTCTTAAATTAGTTTTCAGGTAGAATATTTTTATATGATTTAGATTAAATAATATGTTATAACAAATGTTTGTACCTGTTTAAATGGTATGCAATCAATGGTACATTGATTATTAAAGAAAACCACTCTCCTGATGTCAAAAATAGTAAATTAAAAAATATGTGTAAAGCATATTCTGGCAATACTAACTATGAACAAAAAAAAAAATAAATAAATAAATAATGTAAGTAATACAACAAAGTTTCCTTCATCAATAATAATTGTAATCGAATATACTTACAGGATTCAGGCTATCACATTGTTCTATAGGATGTTTGCAATCTGTTTTAAGCTCATCAAAAGCAATTACCTGAAACAGTAAAAATGATGTTTATGTTAATAAATATTATTTTATATTAGTTTTCAATGGCTGTTTATAAAAAAGCTCACACACAAAAAATTACCTTTTCTTGCCATGCAAATTAAAAAAAGTTGGTACCGATCGCAGTAATGATCTTAAAATTTACATTATTTAGCAAAGAGAGAGACTGATGAATTTTTTTTTTTTTTACTTTAAAAAATATTAAAACCATTTATTTCCTAAAAATAAAATTACCAGATTAGGTTACTGGTTACTTACATGATAAATAGCAAAAAAAATTAAAACTGCATCAATAATTAAAGCAACTATGTAAGCAAAAGCTACAAATGTAAAAACCATTTTACAATGTACACAATTTATAAAATACTGATAATAAGTACACTAATATCTTAAAATATTTTTCCTTTTATTTCGTACCTAGAAAAAAAAAAAAAAAACAATTCTTATACTATGAATAAACTGAAATTTACATCGATATCACAGATGTTTTAAAAATCATTGGGGGAAAAAAAAAACCATAGAGATAGTGAACTGAAATAAGTAACCGTAAGTTGTAAGTGAAAATGCTTTTTTTTTTTATTTTAAATTTTACAAATTAAATGGAGAAAAATACAAAATTAACTGTAAGAATTATCATTTTTTTTTATTTTTTACGCAAAATTATTTTAAAAGATTTAATTGAAAGAAGTTTTATTTTGCAACAACAACAAAAAAAATCCAACTAATATTTGCAATTGTTTAATTACATTATAAAACTAATGTTCTCTGTATTTTATTTAACAAGAAAAAAAAAGAAAAAGAGGAAAAACTTTCATGAAGAATTAAAAAATATCAAAAGGTAAAGTTATAAATAAAGTTTAAAAAATTAATATTTAATTGTTTTATCCCTTTTTTTTTTTTTAAAAAAAAAAAAAAAAAAGTTAAGTGTCTATGTTTATTATATCTATGAAACCAAAGAAAAATTATAAATAAGAAGGGATTATAAAAAGAAAATATTTTTGTATTATTAATGAAATAAAAAATTAAAAATAATTTGTTTTTTTTTTTTTTTTTGTATATAAAACATTATTTTTTCGACTTTGAAAAATGTCTGAAAATGAGGAAATGGAATTTTCTCCCCTTTATATTTTACCCACGGAAATATTCATTCATATTTGTTCCCTTCTTCACGTAAGGGATTTAATATTTTCACTTAGTCTAGTTTGCAAAAGATTTAATGAAATATTAAACGATAAAAACTTTTGGAAAATTTTTGTCGCTAAAAGATGGAATTATAAATATCCCTTTCAATCA